TGACATACATATTATTTTATTATAAATCATTTTCCTCTTATCACTCATTTGTAGTTATAACACTGTATATATAGTATATATATACTATATATACTGTGTACCTTATTACTATAGGAAGGTTACAAAATTCATTTTTAAATGGCAGAATTATCTAAGAATTTCATTTGAGAATGGTTCAAGTGTTACTTAATATTTGTGGTAAATAGCAAGACCTCTGAGAATTTTGAAAACAACTGAGCCACTACAAGCAGGGTCAATTTAAAAGGGACATTTACCAATTTTAACATGATGAACAGGGAAAACATTCTTATATTTTGAGAATATTTACTTTAACTTGATTAGATTCTAATTATTTATTTTGTTTCTGAAGTGATTAAATCCATTTCTTAGGAAAACGCAAAGAAAACATATATGTGTATTTTCTCTTTTGATGAGTAAAAGATGTTTCTCTGAACTAAACTATAATTCTTAGGTTGGCTTGAGGTCAGTATCAATCAGATTCTGAACCCAGGGATAATGACATTTTTTGAGGTCCAGGCAGAAAGATTGCTTCTAGCACCCATTACAAGATTCTCTACCCAGCAGTTCATTTCTTAATTTCCTTGTGAAAGGGTCAGTGATTACCCTCATCATGTCTTCCTCTTCAACTTCATATAAATTACAGAGAAAGGAACTCTCTTCAGTTGTAAAAATTGTGAAGTGACCTTTGTGTAGAGTGTTTCAAGAGATGCCAGAAAATCCCTTCTGGCTTCCAAATTCTCCTCCATGAAGCTGCCATTGAAATGGTATTCCTGGTTAGGAGGCTGATCTTCCTGAAGGAAGGCATTAAGCTAATCCATCCTTGGTCATCAACTCTGGGGTGGGGTGTAAGATCAGTGAGATGAACATCTGTGATGCTGTCATATCTGAGGTTAGATAGACTTTGCCCACTTAACTTCTAATAAAATGAGGCCTAGGGAAAGGATTCTCCTACCAGCTGGTACCAGTGGAAACAGAAAATTCTCATTGTGAAAGGGGCTGACTATTCCAGCATTCTTAAAGTAGTCAGTGCTACAAGTTCTATGATAAAGGGGGTCAGTGATGGCAGATATACTTGGATAATGCCATAAGAGCTCAGCAAGCAAGGGGCACCTTCAGCTACCAGAGATGAGGGGAATCTGGATAACCAGCAGGAACTGTTGCAGAAATGAGACCCAGGTCCGAGGAGCCCTGGCTGAGAGCAGGAGAACTTCAGTGAGTTTCCTTCAGGAATTTGCAGCAAGAAGAAGTCAGCTCTTGGCAGGCAGATAAGGCAATAGAGGCAGAACGCAAGAAAGACAGTTTTGAATGGGAGGTAAGAATATTCTAGAATCCATTCTTTCTATTTCAAGTCTCTCCTAACTTTTTTTTTTTTTGGTAGCCTGAGTCACAGACCTCACCGAGGGCAGGATGTAGGAGCAAAGACGTGATTGTTGGTTGCCTGAACAGAGATTTTGGACAAGCTCATCCCTAAATTAAGTAAGAAATGAAAAAAAAAAAAAGGAATTTAGAAGGAAAAAGTTTTCCTGTTTGTTCTCAGGAGGGTCTCATCTGTTTATCAAATATAGACAATCATCAAAGTCTACAGCAGCCTTCTGCAGGTCTTCTTAACGTCTCCCCACCTTCTTGCAGGTTCACAGAATTTCAAATTCAGAAGGGCATAGAAAGACTCTAGGCTAGCTCCTGCACGAGGTGCCATTCTACACAGAAAAT